AGATCGTTACAGACGAATGCCCACCCCTGCTCGGCGCCTCTCATTGGGGACAACTCGTGCCTTCACACTCGAGTCATTTTTAAACAGAAGTCTGTCACCTCATCATCATTTTCGAAAACCTTCTGTTAAACTGCTTGATGCTGCTAACAGAATGTGACCTGAATACATTTTTGTTTTTAAAAATACCTTATAGTAAAACTGCATGAAAATGACTTTTATCTACAGATAAATCAGTGATTAGTTTATCTAAACTCGTTTTAAGTTCAACTTGCACAGAAATCTAATATTTATTGTGGTTATTTTTGCAACAGAAGACCAGTGATGAGATGCTGTTGTCACACTTAACTTTTAATTCAGTTCAACTTTATTTATAAAGCGCCAAATCACGACAAGAGTCGTCTCAAGGCACTTCACATAATAAACATTCCAATACAGGTCAGTTCATTAAGCCAATCAGAAATAATGTTTCCTATATAAGGAACCCAGTTCAATCTCACTGGACTCCTTTGATCAGTTCCATCACACCATGGGAAAACTACTAACTACGTGAAAGGAAGAGGGGCAGTACAGTCAAAAAGTTGTTTTTAACACTTGAGAAAAGTCGGGCCCTTTACACAACAAACAGTAACAAGTTTTATTTTAACACCTTCCCTCTGGGGTGTTGGGGCGGTCATCCTTGGATGGGGATCTGGGCTGGGCCTGGGGGATTGGATTCTGGCTTGCATGCTGCTGGCAAGAGGGTGGGGGTATATGGCGGCGCCTGGCCCTGGCCTGGGGGCCTTGGTTCCTCCTGAACTAGCATTAACACTTCTGTTCCATCACAGGGCAGGCGGATATCTGGGATGGGGAGAACCCAACTTCATCTGGGTGTCTTATGTGGTCTGGAACTTGATCAAATGCAGGAATGGGACTCTGCTGATATTGTTGGCCGGCAGTTTCCAAAGCAGCCACAGAAAAAGACCTATCGCCTCGCCACCTCAGCCTCGCCCTCGGAACCAACTGCCGCTGGTCAGCCGACCTCAGTAGGAATGGTGGATCGTACGGCAGGAGTGTGTCTGAGAGTTATGATGGTTCCAGCCCATATAAAGATTTATGTCAGCATGAGATTCTTAAAACAAATAATAGAAACAGCTGGAATCCATATATGTACAGTCTATGCTCCCAACCAGCACAAACACAGGCAAGCTAATGACGCTAACGATGCTAGCGCCTTGTTTACTTCCGCCGGAAGCCTCACCGAGTACTCGGTAGAAACAGTGAACTGGTATTTTATTCCGCTAGTTTTGCAAACAATAACAAAAATATAACACGTTGTGTGTTTTATTAGTCCCATTCTGAACACACGTGTGTTTTATTCTGCTCCAGCAGGTGGCGCTAGTGCACCTTTACGCTAGTCACGGACCCCGGAAAAAGCAGAACCCGGAAGCTGCTAGCAGAGCTAGCTTGTTGTTGTTGTGGTGTGTGTGTGAGGAGAAAGTTTGAGGCTCTGCAGTAAAAATGTCTTCACTTCAGTCTCTGGGAGAGTTGATCAGCTAAAGCGACTAACTGCTGCTGCTGCAGAAATCTTCTCACCGGGCTGTGGGAACTTTCTTCTCCTCCTCAACAACTTGGTGGAGTTCTTTCCAGAACCAGAGAAGATATTCTGAGGTCTTCGTGACAATCGGAGCTCCAGAATCAGGTTGTGGGTGAGAAAAGCTTTTCTCTAGACTTCCTGCCCTCTGGATCTGCTGCTGTTCCTTTGGCCAGAACCAAAGCGTTGGATCTTTAATCTCCTGCGTTGTTCTGAAGCAGCATCTTAATCAGCTCTCCTGCTTTGCTTCTATTGCAGCTGTTAGCTAAACACGGCTAAAGGAAACCTGCTACCACTTCAGGATCATCCATCAGCTGGGACTGATTCATCGTGTGTTCTTCACCACCTGGACCTGGACAGCATGGACACAGGTAGGGCTGCCACCTTTCAGATATGGAAATAAGTAAATGAGTTGGAGAAGTGGGTTTTCTCTTAGACAGCTGTGTTATTCACACAGGTGTGAAACATCTGTAAAAGCCAGATCTGGTGCAGGAAAATGGCTGAACAGGGAGTGGGGACACACTTTTACTTCTGCGGTTGTAAGTGATAATAATAATAACAATAATAGTAGTAATAATAATATTACATTAAACTTGTATAGCGCTTTTTAGGTCAGTCAAAGAGGCTTCACAAAAAAATGCAATAAACACATAATAAAACAACATGAAACTGCTATGCTAGCGATTAGCCGCTCTGCTAGCGACATGTTGCTCCATCTCTAAGCGGCTATTACATGTATTCTTACAAGTTTGCTCAATCTGACAGCCTCTGGCTAAATGCAATAGCGTCTGGCAGCAGCCACTGTGGAGCTCCACAGTAGCCGGAAACACGTAACTTTAGTTAAATCGACATTGACAGCGAAAACTAACTAAATTGCGATTTTGTTACTATTGATGCTGCTGAGAAATAAAAGGCTCTGGTGTGAAATGTATGGTTGTAGTTGTGTGTCTTATATTTTGAAAGAACTATTTACACGTTACCATAGCGATCAGAGACCATTAAGAAGCATGCCTGTCTGAGAAAAGTGTTAGGTATTTTTTATATTGTTCATCTTTGATTGTGAAGTTACCTCACTTTTAGGAAAAGTCCAAACCAGCTAAACCAGGGAGTTTTCTGCCAGACCAAGAAACTTGTAGTTCTAGTATCTGAAGAATTCCTTTGTCCTGTGCATTCTAAGACCAAGGTGTTTTTCCATTAGCTCAACTCTAGAAACTTCTCTTGTGATTGTGGAATTTGTGGGTGTGAACATTGTGAAATAAATTAGGGCTGCAGCTATCGAATATTTTTGTAATCGAGTACTCTATCGAATATTTTTTTCGATTAATCGAGTACTCTAATAAATTACCCTTTTGTGTTTGTAAACCATTATATCATATATTGATGAGCCAAGATGGCGTCGAGTATGGCTGCCTCGTCGCGAGCTCCACCAAGTTCCAACATTACACGCTCCATACTGTACATTAATGCCACTGTGTTGCACATACCAACCTCTGTACATTTTATATCTCTTATCTTATTGTTTACTTTATTCATTTGTATACTTAGATTAGCCATTTTTATATTTTACTTGTTTTTACATTACTGTATTTTTGCACAACTCAGTTGCTGTGAAGCTCGCACACAAGAATTTCACTCGCATGTACTCTACCAGTGTACCTGCACATGTGACGTGACAATAAAAGTGATTTGATATCAAATAGCATGTTATAATTATGAAAGACCTCTTAAAATGAGCAAGCAATTGCCAGTTATTCTTCAAGTTTTATTCAAAATTAGTTTGCATAACTTCAGCACTTCAACTTTACTTCACAGTAAACAAATGCCTGTGCAAAAAATAAGTAAACAACCTGAGCTGATTTTCCCCTCGTGTGAGAATCTGCTAGCCTGCAAGCCAGACAAAAACTAGGAGGATAACGCTGCGAGCGGCTGCGGCCCAAACAGAACCAGAACCGCTCACGGCGCAAACAGCTCGCCGGCTGTTTCCCTATTAACGGACGTCCGTTTTTATTTCTACACTTTTTTTTCTCACACTAACAAGGATTGCCAAAAGCATGTTTGCTGTGGTTTTGTCAAATTATACTGATCACACAACATTTATTTACTTTCTTTCGTTTTCCTCCGCCACTCATAAATACCCGTGTCCTCCTGCAGAAACCCCGAGGGACAACAGACATCAATAACACAATAAAAAGTCCGACATATTGTGTAAAAACTGCTATTTTTAGCACATTTTAAGTCCGACGTGTTGCTACCAGATGTAGGGTGTGAGCTGAAACTGAGCGCTACAAACGAAAAAGTCGCAGAGTCCGCAGAATATATAGAAAAACAGGCTAAAAAGCATCATCTTGTAGAGGCTCCGAGTCCGCTTGCAGAAGTGACATTTACAGGTGCTGCAGCACGGAGGATGTGGTGTTGTGGTAGGTTAAATCCATTTTACTGTATTTATACTGGACTACGTTTTCCGTCTTACGACGTGAAAAATGGTCCCACAACTTTGACATTTTCTGTCTTTTTCGCACTCCACCGGGGTCCACGTTGTTAAGAGAAAGTTAAGTTACATTCGCTACTCGCGTGTGCATTCAGTGCAGTGGGCATGTGCGTCACTTATTTCGGTCCGGGTGAAACATGACCCCGGGCGATTGCAAAGCCATGAATTAATTAAATATGAATTAAACGAATCCTCGAGGCAGAGAATTTGACTCGAGGATTTTTTGTACTCGAATTATTCGAGGTACTCGAGGAATCGTTTCAGCTCTAAAATAAATCCCTCCATGAGCTTCGGCTCCTTGGTGAGAGGAAAATGGCTTCTGACTCCAGTGTGTGTCTGTGCCTCACTCTCACCCGTTACAAAGTGAGTTTTGTAACGTTTGTTATGGCCTTTGCAAAGGGTCACACTTTGCAGAGTTTGTTGTCTGTTTAAAGGTTTGTTACAGTTTACCAAATTAAGAATCTAATCCCTCTGTGTGTGTGTTCTGACTTCCTTTAAGGTAATTTAAGTTTAAGGTAATATAAGAATAATAGTATAAATTAAAATACCCAACATAGATTAAATTACCTATCAAAAAGTGTATAAAGCATGTAGTGAGGGATTTTACAGTCTTAACATCTATAATAATTGTAAAAAATAAAGTTGGTTACGTCATGGATTTCTCCTACCGCGGGTTATTTTTAGAACGTGACTCCTGCGATAAACGAGGGACTGCTATATTATTAATAGTAGAGTCTGGGAAACCTAATTGATTAACATCAACATTGATTATTATGCACTATTATTTTTGTTCAACGGTGATAAAGTCCTAATGTCTTCATGAAAGTTCCTTTTTTCCCCCCATCTGAGCATCGGGGAAAAGGCTGTCTTGCAATTGTTGAGGTCACTAGTGTGTGCCCCATTTCTTCCAGGATCACTCTCTTTATAGGTTTTAATGGACTCCTAGTACTGTATTGTATTCCAAGATCTGGGAGACTGTAGAAATGAGCAGTGATGCCCTTCCTACCGTCTTTCCAGAAAAATAAGTGACCTGGAAGCTGTTAGGCTTACTTACAGCAGCAGAAAGTGTTCTTAGCATGTGCTTCAGTCTGTATCAACAGAAATTCACTGCAGCCTGTGTAATATTTGATGCGTCATAATTCATTCTTCTCTATCTTGCAAATACATATTTTTGTGGCAATGTCATGCACAACACACACAACTATTAGATCCTTAAGATCAAACCCGTGTCGTTCTTTTGGTCCACCGCAGTGCAGCAGTCAAAAAAAAAAAAAGAATAAGTGAAGTGGCCACAAATGGCCAGGATAGAGCCCAGAGTGCTAATGTTTACAATGTATACAAATATTATTGATTTCAATTCTCTACTGTTAATATCAACAATAAGCTTTTTATTTTGAAATTACAAGTATAAAAAATGCTGTTGCATTTACATTTAATGCTGTTACTCTGTAATCCTTTATTATAAGTATGGACAAATAATCAAGTGAACAACATTTTGAAATAAGTTTAATTGGAATTTTGTAATATACAAAAACAAAACAACAACGACATATTAAATGTAGTGGAATATAGTTGTATATTCTTACACTTTTATTAGGTCCAGATATTATAATCCGAAGAGGTTGTTTTTACTTCAGGGAGTTTTATTTAAACACTTTATATTGACTTAGAGACAAGAAAAGAGAGAGTTGGGATCGTTTAAGAATCTTTAATTTCTATAATTATAAATTCAAACAATTCCAGGACTAACTCCTTATGATGGATGCGTATGGATTTGAATGTTGAAGTGTGTGTGTGTGTGTGTTCAGGATCTCCAGCTGAGGCAGGCGGATCTGGTGTCAGATGTTTTGACTAGGAGCCACGAGGCTTCAGAAGCTCATGACATGAAACGCTATCTTGTGCCGTGTCTACGTACCGTATGGAGTCTCCCGCGTTCAGATCCGGAATGCCAGGTCGACTCGGACCTTCCTTCGGTGCTCGGACTGATGGTACAGCTTCTGGAGCACGACAAACCAGTCTACGGATAGCTCCGGCAGTAGCGACAGCTCTCAGCGCGTTCAGCTTTTATTTTGAAGGAACCGTCGTCTTGTTGTTCAAACGACAGATTTTCCAGCTTGACAGTTCTCAGCTTAAAGATACAGCTGGCCGGGCTGTAAATCCGTTAGAGATGATGATGTGAGAGCTGGTTGAAACTACGTTGAGTCTATGATGTAACTCCGATGAGGCTGAGGTGGAAACTCAGATGGAACTGAACTTAAAATGGCGTTGCTCTGTTTTTATTAACTTAGTTGTTTATAAATCTTAGCAAATCGGAGTGGGCAATTTCAGTAAACACTCCAGAACTCTGCCCCGCAACAGAAGGAGGTTCTGACTGGAATGAGCGAACAATGTGTCACGTGTTTCACGTGTTTACCTTATGTGAGTAAGAATGTCTGGCATAGTTAGTCCTCCTGTTATTCAATAAACACATAAATCCTGACATTTTGATTTCACAGATCAGTCACCTGATTATTACTGATCAACATATGTTTTGATTAGCTTTATTACAAACAAAGGTCTTTGATTAATTAATGAAAAGCGTTCTTCTTCCTTCTTCTGTCTTCTTTCCTGGAATGTAAACATTTAGAAACAAGCACCCGACCTTGTTCATTCATGCACCCTGTTACTGTGTGAAGGGGCAGCTGTTAAGGGCAGACAATAGGATATTCATAACGCTACATAAACAAACAAACAAACACAGTCAGTGCCTTCATTTGTCCATTACATGTCAAACATAGCACTGACCCTAAAGCCTGATTTATGCTTCTCCGTCTGCGTCATTGCGGAGACACGCAACGCCATTATCCGTCCCTGCGTAGGGCTCCGGCAGGCACGCAAGTACGTACGGAGTCGAGCCCACTGTTTTAAACACCCGTCGAACGAGACAGATTACGCAAGCTTGTGATTGGTCAGGACGCCGCTGTTGTTTACAGCGCCGCCATTGCAAAGAGAGCCGAGGATAACTAGCGGCAGACACAGGGAAGCTTGAAGAATACCTCGCAAAAAAACTCTAAAAATATGAACGTTTCATCCTCCTGTGACTGGAGGAGTGAAAAGATGCGCAGCAAGCGTTTTATTTGTGGACGGAAATGACAGGAAACGTGGGTTTAGGGGTAGAGAGCGCATGAAGAGGTGGAGGAGGATGAGAGACAAATATGTCCGTGTTAAAAGTCTCTTATATACACAAAAAACACGATATAAACACACGACCCTGGACCGATACAAGACAGGATACCACAGAACAGCGCTACGCCCTCTGCTGTCCTGCCGGGCAATTGCTTTGCAACACTCCCCAGGAGACGGAGAAGTATGAGAGCAAAATGTCTCCGTCAGTCCGTGCGTGTCTGTCCCTTGCGGAGCTGACGGAGAAGCATGAACCAGGCTTTAGTCCCTGCTCATCAGCACATGCTTTCAAAAAGAGCTCCATGTCCTCTGCAAACTGAAAAACAAAGAGGAACATGTCCCTTGCTCCAGTGTCTTCTTCCTCTGACATGTCTCTTAAGACCCTCTGCTGGTCCCCTTGATTTAAGGACAGATATGTTGGCGTTGTTACGAGTCCACGGAAAAGTGCCTTATTTTGGACAACCCACTGCACAGCAGGACGCAGATCTTCAACAACTGCTGGCTCCTGTGTCAGGCGCATGGGGATAAAAACACAGCTATTTCTCTGTTGCAGAACAGTTTTTTAACAGTTATTCAAATGTCAATAACCATGTAATTACACTACTGTTTAAAGTGAATACTGACCTGACTGACTTCCTGGAACTTGCGCTTTTTCAGTCTGAAAATGGGCACGTGTTGTCCTTCAAGCACAGCTTTGGCTTCCTCCCCCCAGTGTGCAAATAGCTCGCCAGAGCTTAGCAGAAAATGTTGATATTGTTAAGGAGTGTAAACTTTAACACAACATAGAACAGAAGTCAAAATATAAATACCTCCTGAGATCAAAGTTCTCCATCAACAGCAAGCACCACCATTTACGCAAGTAGGGCATGTCTGACTAAAATATTAGTATGAAACATAATTAACAACTTTAAAAAGATTCAAGACTCCATTGCTGTGAAAGTAAATAGAATACTTACTATAGTATAGTCAAATGGTGCATCCAGTGCCACGTACAGAGCAGACTATTTGGAAGAAAAAATAAAAATGTCATTTTTTAGAAGCTTAAATTAGCTTCTGTATGAATCTCAAGAAGAGATGAGAAAAATTACTATCAGCATGAAGATCCCACAGTCAACTCCGTAGTTTTGGCTTGGAAAACCCTGTATTACATTGAAAATAAAGGCTCATTAATAAAATCCCTTAAAAGAAGACTAGTGAAATTCATATTATTCACCATACACTTAAACTAGCACATACCTTCAAGTCAAAGCTCTTTTTCTGACCACTGCCCGGGAATGAGCTTCACTGCAAGATTCCTTTTTTTCAAGACAGTCACATTCACAAGTTAACAGACATCATCATGATGGGTGTGAAATGTTTATTGCTAATAGCACCAACTGTAACTACAGGTCTTAGGAACACGACCTCAACAAAACAGCATAACAGAATGAAAAAGTACAGTCACATGCTCACAGTTGGTCAAAATAAAGCATTTTCAGCTTTAATTTGAGGTTGGCATATTTTATAAACTAATATTTAATGGTGTTTTATGTTAAACTAAAACGTTTGAAGACCCTATTTTTGTCTGAAACTCATCTAAAGTTTAAGACCCTTAAGGGATAAATCATACTCTAATGCAAAATGTGTTTTTTTCTTCTTCTCGCCCACAGAAGCCGTTAATCCAACCCTCTTACTTAAACCAGGCCCAGGAAAAAGCATATCTGTGTGTTTCTCTGCCATGGAGCACGATGAAAAAAAAATTTAAAATAAGAAGGAATGTTGTTGTAACGCAAAAAAAAAGTGGCAACATGATCATTGTAAGAAAACTAGAATTATGAAATCACTAACGGCAAGTTTATTTAAGAAAGACTCTGTCCCAACCTTTGCGATCAACTTGTAAGACATCCGCGGTATCCATGAGTGTTTATGGCTACTGTGGAGGTCACGTGCTTCCGGCTACTGTGGAGGTCACGTGTATCCGGTTACGGTGGAGCTCCACAGTGGCCGCAGCCAGAACCTTCTCGCTAAATGTGCTGCTCTAAACTTCGCATTTGGCGTCCTGGTTTTTAATTATTTGGAGACGTTCAACGTCAACGGAGTTCGGTTTTCCATCCTGCTTGTGCGGAGAGATGAGCCAAACCCCTCCCTCCCCTGTGTAATGAAGAACCAACTACGGAAAGCTGGAGTGGCCAAATTACCTCAAATATATTGTAAGGGTTTGAATAGTAAACTACAGGGTTACTGTTTTATTTTGAAGGCGAGCTCAACGGGTGAGAAATGTTCCGGTTTTTTCCGCCCTGGTTTGCTATGCTAGTAAATACTCCGTTACGAGCGATTCTGTAGAGAAAAGTTAAGACTTTGTAAGGCGACAGTAGCCCGAAAATAATACTCATAAATGAGCAACCAGAGACTCTGAGTCATTACAGTATAATCGCTGATATGAGTCAATACTTTTTTGGGTTAGGAGGAAAAATATTGAGATACATCGTGTATCGGAATTCAGCTAAAAGATATCGAGATATAAGTTTTGGTCCATATCGCCCAGCCCTAATCTGGACCATTTTTAAAGCTGTTTTAAAAGTGGATGTTTTTGTCCTCTAATGGCTCGAGTGTATAGTAAATTTTAAATCTGTCGCTATATAAAAACCATTAAGTGCAAAAAATTCAAAATTTTAGATATTTCATAACATAATCTAGATTGATTTGTACTAAACACCCCAGGCAAAAAATAAAAAAGTATTTTTTTAGAAAATAACTCAGTTTTAGTGTTTTTTTATTTTTATTTTTTTCATAAATTACATCAGTGACTTTGAGTATTCCAACTGGCATTTCAGGGGTTAAAAGCCTCAAAACTAGGGCTGCTCGATTATGGCAAAAATAATAATCACGATTATTGTGACTGAAATTGAGATCTCGATTATTTAAGACAATTTTTCAATTAATGTTGATTTTATTTGTTTTTATTCGGTCATAAAATTGCTCAGGGCACAATCAGGACAAAAATAAATAAGAAACAAGATGATCACTAAAATAACTCCTAATTCCCAGTATAAAAAAGACCAATATACTTTTAGCTCATAGTTTATGACCCAAGCGCTATAGACCTTATGACACGTCTCTAAATAAAGTAAAATTTTCCAGTGCAGAGAGGAGACAACCCATAGAAGAACTGATTTGATCTCATTTCAGAGAAAAATAGAACAGGTCAGATGCACCTAATAAATAAAACCACTAACAAACTCAGGAATCTGTTTCTTTGCTTTGCTGTTCTGGTGCTGAGAATATCACTAATGCGGATCAAAGGAGATACACAGATGAGTGCACCTCATATTTATAATTTGGAGACTACATTTACTGCAGCTGGCAGAGGCAGAGATTTTTAGGCCCGAGCAGCGAAAGCGCTGCGAAGGCCTCTTGTTTTTGCTCCGATTATTATTATTCTTTATTTATTATTCCGTGCGCGAAATGAATGGCTTTTTGGGGACCTTAACATACCCCAAAACTCACAATATTTTGAAAACTTGTCAGGCCTGGTGAAAAATTTGATATTTTAAAGGTCCCAAAAAAATCGCAAAGAAAATGGCTGAACAGCGCCCCCTAGAAAGTGAAAAAAAACCCTCTCCATAAAGCTTAGTTTATTGTACAGTTATGAAATTTGGTACACTTGTAGTACTCAACAGTCCGCACAGAAAAGTCTCTTGCAAGCATGGTCAATATCAAACAGGAAGTCGGCCATTTTGGGTTGAAATGGCGATTTTTAGCCGTTTTTGCCGTTTTTAGGGTCCGTTTCTGATTGGATTGCTCGATCATTTTTTGCACGATCATCTCAAAATTTGTGTAAAATTGCTCAGAAGGGATGGGCGAACAAAATGAGATGAGAATTCTGAGTTTTCGTATATGTTGAAGGGGCGGGGCCAGGCCTCAAAGTTTGACTACTCGCCAAAAATATTTAAATTGCTATAACTTCATAACTGAATGGAATAGAGTTACCAAACTTTCTGTGGTCATTCGTCATCCACCCACAAAGTAAATTGAATGGTCGGATGATGACATCACACAAGCCCCGCCCCCTCAGGACCAAAAAGGTCATGTTTTACTGTGAAAGGTCCCAAATTGCCCCATTTCATTTAATCACCAAGAATTTGCAGCTGGTAACTCAAGACAAGTGGGGGTTGCTTGGCGTCACTTTATGGGAGTTTTCGGCAGAGGGCGGGTCTGTGGCGGCGCGGCGAAGTCAGGCGTACCGCCGTGGCCTTACGTTTGCCTCCCATTTCGTCATTTCTAAAGATATAATCACGAAACTTCTTGGGAGCGATCCTAGTCCAGCCCCCCAAAGGATCTGATGTGAACATCGGGTGGGCGTGGCCTATTTTCTGAAATAGCGCCCCCTAGGACCATTAGCGCCCCCTAGGACCATTAAAACTGTCAGCCCCAAGCCATGCTTTGACTGAGGATTACAAAATTTGGTACACTAATGTGGTGTCTCAGGACCTACAAAAAAGTCTCTTGGAGCCAAGTGCAAAGTCGCACAGGAAGTCAGCCATTTTGGTCCAAGTGCGCGATTTAGTGGTTTTCACACACATTGTTTGGAGAGTGATGCTCCGTCGCCCTTTTCACCAATCGCCTTCAAACTTCTGCTATATACTCTTAAGACATAGAGGAAAAAATTCAACCGTCGGATTTTAAATAAGTATAAAGGTGTGGGCGTGGCTAAGCCTCAAACTTTGACCTTTCGCCACGCCACTCTTTTTTTCACAGCTCCCTATTGGACCCATTTTACCCAATCACCAGGAATCTCTGGTAAATAGCAGCAGACAATTTGAGGTCACTTGGTCTCCAGTACTGGAAGGTTTTGAGAAAAGGCGGGGCTTTGGGAGCATGGCGAAATTCGCCATCACGCCATGGAAATACGTTTGCCTCTCATTTCTTCATTTATCGTGATATCACCTCGAAATTTGTTGTGAGTGATCCTAGTCTGACCCCCAATAGAAATGGATGGCTGAAGTTTGTGGGCGTGGCCTATTTTCTGAAATAGTGCCCCCTAGGACCATTAAAACTGTCAGCCCCAAGCCATGCTTTGACTGAGGATTGCGAAATTTGGTACACTAATGTGGTGTTGCAGGACCTACAAAAAAGTCTCTTGGAGCGAAGTGCAAAGTCGCACAGGAAGTCGGCCATTTTGGTCCAAGTACTCGATTTAGTGGTTTTCGCACACGTTGTTTGGACAGTGATACCCCGTCGCCCTTTTCACCGATCACCTTCAAACTTCTGTTATATTTTCTTAAGATAAAGGGGAAAAAATTCAACCGTCGGATTTTAAATAAGTGTAAAGTTGTGGGCGTGGCTAAGCCTCAAACTTTGACCTTTCGCCATTACATTACTTGACTTAACAACTCCAATGTGCATGATCAGATCTATATCAAACTTTGTCTGTGTGATCATTGAACACATCTCAAGACGTCATTGTGGACAGGTGACATCACCTAAGCCCCGCCCCCTGACAACAGGAAGTCTATTGTTTTATGGTGAAATGCCCATATTTGTCCTCTCTAATTTAGTCAACATGACATTGAGGTCAGGCACTGTCTTCATGATGTTGCAATGACCATTCAGATCTGATAGCTTTCCAGATAGGGAGGGGCTTTGATGCCATGGCGATTTCTGGCATGACGCTGTGACTTTACGTTTGATCGTAACTTCCACAAACAGCCTCCCATCTGCACGAGACTGAACATGGCAATCAACAATCATGCCCTTTAGCCAATGAGACACAAATGGTTGGTGAAATTCGTATAACACCACAGTGCCCCCTACACACCATTAAAACTGTAATAACTCCTACAGACGAGGTCGTAACTGCACCAAACTTGGTGTGCTCAGAGGGGATGCTCAGTCAGGGTGAGGTGCGGACGAGGTGACGGTTAGCTGTTTCTGGTGTCGGGGTGGTCAACATTTCTGTTCCGCGGATGTGCCCTGGCGCCCCGGGCTGCCGGCCAGGCCGGAGTGGCGCAGAGCTGCGAGGGCCGAACGACGCTGCTTGCAGCTTTAATTTTCTATTGATACACGGATTTACAGAATCATTTTAAATGTTAATAGGGGAAGACTGCAGGAGGGAGCGGTAAAATACAGGGGGTCCCCAGCAATAACAAGAAACTTTACGAGTCTGATGAAACCCGCTGGTTTTCCATCAGGCAGTCACGGGGCAGCTCCAACGACCCAGTGGCTGTGCTGGGTCAATGTTATCGAGCTCAGTCCGGCTCGGCAGAGGGTGGACGAGCCGAGGCGACGTCGTGCTCTGCTTAAGAAGTGTTATTTTCCCGCTTCAGAAGAAGCGTCCAACGTGTTTTTACGCTTTCTCCGACACATGTCACGTCGCTAAGTTGTTAGCACCGCGCGCTAACACGTTAACAGTGCAGCGTAGCCTGCTGGAGGTTTTAAGGGTTCAGATGAAACACCCGACCTCTCAGGCTGCTCACGCATCGATCTTAAGTTGTCGCTGTTGCGCTCACGCCGTAATACAGTATTAGATGCGGTTAAAGTCCGACATGAAAAAATAAATACATTTTACATGAATAAGTTATGCTTAGCCTGGTGGGGAGGAGAACCTGGCCTAATAAGCACTGGAGGAAACCCTGTCAAGATCGTCAACACTCATTTATCTTAATGCTATTGAAACATGTAAACCACAAAGCATTATATCCACTGCTACCTTTCTAATTTTAAACTCAGTAACTTATGCTGTAACTTCACCTTGGCCTGCCTGCTCCTCCTTGCTGCCTGCCGGCTGTGATCACAAGCGACAACATAGTAGTTCCCGCTGCTTCTTCGGGAAACGGCGCACAAAAAAAACTTGGGATCTTGCAGGCGTGGCGGTGGGATTTCAGCCGTGGCGGGCCGCCACGGCTACGCTTATGTAAGGGAGACACTGACTGACAGCAATAATCATATGGTGGCATTTATAACAAATAAATTCAAATTAATTGATGTTCACAAAATTTTGCATAATATGTATTTAGTCATGTCAAGGTGCTGTAGGAGAGTGCACTATCACCGTGTCCTCAGAGAGGTTAGTTATTATTTATCAGCGTGAGGAACTTATTTCTTCCTTATTTATAAACTATTTATTTACAAGTCCATCAGTTAATGTAATAATTGTCCCAACCACAGCTGCACCCCCACCCCCCAACCCGGTCTCACAGCAATCAGGGGCAAGCTGCGGGTGTGTTTAGCGTGCCGCACGCGCACATTTAGCTGTTTTTAGCGGCTCAGGAGCCCGCAGGTACGGTGCGTGTCACTCACTCTGGTTAATCCAACAGGAAACCGGCCGTTTCTTTAGCGACCGACACATCACTACATCATTCCCTTTCCTAATGTCCTGAAGAACGGTCCGGAGCGCAGGCGGAGTGTTTAGCTAACCTGCAGGAAATGTCAACGACAGTTATCCTGAAAGTAGCTAAGGGTTACCAGAGATGTTTCTGAGGTGTTCGCTAGGTACTTTTAGGATTTAAAAAGTCAAGAAGGGGGTCTGAAAAGCTGTTGGAAATAGCATCAATGTCGCTAAGTTGGCAACACTGTGAGGGGCGCTTCATTTGCAACTCAGGGCAGCGCAAGAAGGAGGAGCAAATAATCGGCTTGTTTTGTTTTTATAATCGTTCAAAACTCAGATCGTAATTGGGATTAAAATTCGATTAATTGAGCAGCCCTACTCAAAATGATTGAATTTTTTGATGTTTGGGAAGGGCTGAAGTCTTTCAACAGATTTATGAAAAAAAGTAATAAAAAAAACATTTTATACATTTTTATAGCCACTTTTACAGGCGGTCGTTTTTGTCCTCTATTGACTCTTTTGTATGAAAATTAAAGTGAAGCCTGAGGGTTAAGGCTCATATGATTTATAGAGGCTCAAAGTTCAATTTCCAATTGTAAATACATTTCATTCTACTGTCAGTTTAAAGAAATAATACAACTGTTATATGTGTGAAAACACAGTTACAGCTGTCTGTAATTCACATAATATGTTTCTGTGTTTCCTACAGATTTTCAACAGGTGGTTCTGGTTAAATAAGAAGCTTCAGAAGAACAGAGTGCTCGTGTCAACCACCAGCACCTAGATTTTCTCCACAAAAAAGAGGAACAGGAGAAACTCTGGTCTAGTATGGAGGGAGAGCATCTCTATTTGAATAAGGAGACTGTTGCTGCCGGGTTTCAATCCTTTAGCCATAAAACACATTTAAACAAACACACGAGAGTCCACACAAAGCAGAAACATTTTGCCTGTGAGCACTGTGGACAAAGGTTTCACCAAAAGACTAATTTAACCACACACATGAGAGTCCACACAGGACAGAAGCCTTTTACCTGTGAGCTCTGTGGAAAGAAATTTAGCTTTAAGTCACATTTAAACAGTCACATGAGAGTCCACACAGGACAGAAGCCCTTTCCTTGTGAGCTCTGTGGAACGAGATTTAGCCAAAAGACAAATTTAAACAGCCACATGAGAGTCCACACGGGACAGAAGCCCTTTCCTTGTGAGCTCTGTGGAA